GGCCTACAGAGCTCTACAATTTCAAGAAACTTCTCCACAGGAGTAGCACACACGACACACATGATCACAAATTGTCATTGTCTAGTGGAGGGCTTCGAAAATAATGGGAATCCCTCTTGTGAGGCCAGGCTGAGGTAGCTGGGCCTGGTCAGCCTTGGGAAGACTGAGAGGGGACCTTATCCCCATGTAAAAGTATCTGCAGGGGGTTGCTAGCAATTAGGAGAGATGGGGAAGACTGATTTGGTGATCAGAATCTGATTTACTGTGGGACACAAAAGCTTTTATACTATTTTAGGGAGGGTAGTGTATTTTAAACAGTGGTTGGGTTAATATTCACACAAACTTACACATTTTAAACATCTCTAGCTTGCAGAAGCCTGATGTAATTTTCCTTTTCTGGTAAATCCATCTGATTTGATCTTCTTGCAATCTTGATTTAATTCTCAAAGTTCTGTTTGCTCTTGCCAAGGCATCCTGTTCTCAAATCCCCTGTGCCAACCAAAGTCCATCATCTGCCTTGTGTCCCCAGCACCCCAACAGAAGGTTGTAGCTGGGCATTCCCCCACAGGAGCTCCTCTGTTGTTTGTCCCACGGGCAGATAACTCAAGCTCTCCTGTAGAGAGACACTTTGGGCCCATGGTTATTGGTTATTTTGGGCTTAATACTGGTCGGGCATATCCCCAAAAACACCCTGCTGTTGGGGTGAGATCTGAAAGACAAGCTGGATTTCTGACAGACAGGCACATCACTTTGCAAACTTTATAAAAACCACAGCAAACCTTCACAAAGCAGAAATCTTCTTTATATTCAGTGGAAATGTGTCAAAGACCACCCTAGGTCATGGGGTGGCTCTGTGTGGTGAAAAAACTTCTCCTCTGTCGGACTCTGAGGTATTGATGATTCTGAGATTGTAAAGTCTCTGTCTCTCAGCCCCGCTGCCAAAGCAGAAGCCATAATTAGTCTGTGCTGGTTTCCAGGTTGTTTATTCTGTTTATCTCTCACATGTTCTGCTGCCCTGTCCAGCTCTGTCCTGCAGGGCAGCGTGTGGGGCTCTGCCCTCAGTGGATGTTACAAACATTAAATACCAGAAACTCCCTGGGCTGGATTTACAAGAACGTGTCAATATCTGTCACCTACGTTGGACAGTGTGTCCCCAGCCTGAACCAGCAGAAAAATGCCAACACCACAGTGAGACATGGAGGGCATGAAGAAGGAGAAAAAGGACAAGGCACACCCAATTTCCTCCATCTTGTCCTCTTTGGGCCCCTAATCTAGAATCCTAAAATTTTACTTTTGCACCCGTGCCACACTTTTATTACTTAAATCAAACACTCAGAGCTTGTAATTCATCTTGTAAGATTGAAAACTCTTTTCCATGGACAGAGATCACAGACAGTGTCTCTGGGGCTCTGTCCAGGCGGGTTCCTGACCCCTGCCAGGGTCCCAGGGCAGCCAGAGGGAAGCCCTGGACTCCCACAGTCCTCCAACCCGTGCTTCCAAAGAAAGGCTCAGCAGTCTCTGTTGTTTGGTCTCAAGGCAGTTTATTGCAAGTTATCTAAAAGATTTTCTTCTCAGGCTGCTGTGGTTTGCTCACAGCTCAAGCAAAGGCACACACACACCCTGACATCCTCTCTGACCCCGACTGCTTCTTCTCTCCCTGCCCAGGGCTGCTGCTCTCTTTTATATGGTACATTATGTGTTACATGTTTACAGTTTCCCCCAATGCCTATTACCTATATTAAATTATTTTCTATCTTTTATATGGTACATTACGTGTTACATGGTTACAGTTTTTCCCCAATGCCTATTACCTATATTAAATGGTGCTTTTCTACTCTAAACCAATCTGTGAGTGCCAACATCACCAAGAACATGGAGGTAAGGAAGAAGAAAGAGGAAGGACAGGGCAGGCCCAAATTCCAAATCCATCTTAAAACTTCTGTCCACCGTGTACAAAACCAAAACCCCCTGTACAAGCATTAAACCCCCCCTGTACAGCACTCAAATATTCTTCCCTCTACTTTGTGACTACTTCTACTATAATATCTAAACTTTTGTGACTTCTTGTTCTCCCTGCAAGGTTGGTAATTCATTCCATGGTTCAAACCCAAAATCCCAGCTGTTTCCAGCTGCCTACCAGGGTCTCAAATGCTTCTGACCTGGGTCTGGAACCTCCAAAAACGTCTGAGGGACATTTTGAGTTCCACCAGAAATGTGTGGAGTGTCTGCCATGAGTAGGGACACTGCTTTGTGGTTGCTCCCGTGGGGTTAAGTGAAGGAATCTGGACATTATCATCATCTCGGTGCAAAGTTCCATTTGATTCCTAATTAACTCCATTTTTTTCACCATCTTTAGTATAGCTACCTCAATAACCTCAATATAGTGCATTGTTTTATGTTATGCTGTAATCTACTAGTAGTTCTTTAGGTTTATACCATGTAGTAAGTAAATCTGATTAAGATCTTTCATCTGCTATCTCTTGTCTGCTTAATAAATGATTAATTTTTATGAACAGACACGATTTGCCATCATTAAAAGCTGCAAGCCAGAGTGATTCCTTGAATTTAAACTGTTCCCAAAATGTGAGGATGAGGCAGGGCTCATCTGAAGCTCCCACTCACCCTGTGGCAGGGGGTCAGTGGTCACTGGTCAGTGTTTTTTTTTTTTAAAAGGTATAAAGAAAATTTTATTTTAAAAAATAAATTTAAAAATTTATTAAATAATAAAATAAAATAATAATAAAAATAATATTATAATTATAATAAAAATTCAAACATAAAATTTAATATTTTTATTTCTATTTAATTCAATAACTTTTATTATTTTAAATAAAATTATATATAGACTATAATTTTACTAATATTTTTAACATATATATTTCACAAAACCAAAAAATAAAATAGAATAAATTTACATTAAAAATCTACAAATATAATATAAAAACTTTGATATAACTAACAATCTATAAAACCACTAAAAAATTATACACACCTCTATAAAAAACACATATTAAAAAAAAAATCCCCAAAAAAACCTCTCTTTTCTTTCCAACCTAAAAACAAATAATGAAACCAACCTAACCTCTACCTCAACCAAACCAAACCAAACAACTCCTACCATAAACCCAATCTTTTTTTTGCTCTGGTCAGCACCAGGCAGAAACTGCTGCACAGGAAATTCCACCTGGAAATCAGGAATATTTCCGAGGATGTTGAGATATTAACACGAGTCTGCCTTAGGCTGAGTCAAGCCTGGCAAAGGAGATTCCAAGCTTTGTGTGGGTTATCTTTATCATGTGGCAGTTTGGGCACATAAATATCAATAATTTGGAATGTGATCTGACCCCAGACCGCGTTTGCAGGATCTGAATTCCCACCACAGTCAAAACTATTTAAAATTAATGGAATCTGGTGACAAAATCTGCTGAAAAAAGTAGTTGGCATCTATAGGCTACAGTGACAATTTCAAATGTGGACATTTGGTTAATCTAATGACAAAAATATTATTTAATATTATTAAATACTATTTCTTTAATGATAAATTAAATTTTTAGCATAATTCTACATATCCAGAAGTGCTGTACCTACCTTACAAATGCTATTCCAAAATAATGAATGCCTCTTGCAGTAGTTGTGGCTCCCAGAATATCAGAAATGTGATTTCTAATTATTAGGAATCCATGCTAAAAATCACTTGATAGATGTCAAAACCATCATTCACAGAGTACATGTGGTAAGTCCAAGGTGAAATAAATTGTTCCTGAACAACAGAATTTCTACATTTTTCTTAAAATCTCCATCTGTCCAACCTTTAACAATTACCACTGAATTACCACTACTCCTTATCTTTGGTGCACTGAAAGTAAAGATATAATTAAAACATCAATCCTGCCCTCCATTATAAGAAAAAAAATTAAACATTGCCTCAGTATAAATCCTTCAAGTCATATAGTACATTATTTTCTAATTACATCAACAGTGATGGAAAATATGTTGCAAATAGGCTTTTATATTTTAAATCAGTGATGAGATTTGAAAAGATGATTAATTAAATCTCTTATTGGTGGCTCATTTTCTTTTATAATAAATGCTGAAAAATATTCTATATTTTTCTGGTTTAATATTTTTTGATACAAAATAAGATATGATTAAAAACAAATATGTCAAGCTTCTGCAAAGAGTTATACCGTATAATTTTTCTGTGGAATTACAAACTCTCAAAATAAAAATTCATATGACATCAAATGAAGAACACTGTACTTTTATTATATTTCTATTTACAATTATTTCCAGCAATGAAGGATTAATTTAAGGAGGAATTCATGTCCTTAACTTTCCAATACCATTTAAGTTTTGAGGATTTAATATAAAGAACTTTATTAACAGTCACAGAGCTTTACAGTGGTTAGGTTATTCAAATGCCGAGACCTGGTCTAACATGTTTAAAACTCTAAAATTAAAGAAATGCCTTTGAGGCACTGGAGCAGGAATGCAATTTTGCACACCTTTTTTTTTTTTTGTCCCCCAATAACAATCTCAGAATTAATAATCAATAGTCATTAATTTCCTGGGCTCCACATTATAGCGTGAATTATATCCTCTCCTTTCCCCAAAGAAATTTACTAAATCTTTTCAGGAGATAAATGCAAACGGATAAAAACTTATTCTTCTCAGTTCTTCCAGTAAAATCAGGCTCATGAATATTACTCTTCTGTTCAAAAAGTCAGAAGTATGTAAAGCACAATTTTAAAGTTTCTGGAAAATAGCAAGGGAAAAAAAATAAAGTTTATTTATTTAAGAATTTCTTCAGGATGTGGAAAAAGTTTCCTTCCAAAATGTTAACATAGCTTCTAACACTCCCTCTTACAGCTGAAAATCTCCATTCTTCTCCCTGTTTCCTACCCAAAAGCTGAAGTGTATCTGGAAATTCATTTTACTGAACAAGAATTGAGAGTGAAAAATACCAATACAAACACCTGAAACACCCCAAACATTCCATTTCATTTCCACACCACATTCGTTTTTCTCCATCTTTTCTTCAGGGCTTCTTTGACCTCCTTATTCCTCAGGCTGTAAATGATGGGATTCAATAAGGGAGTGAGCACAGAATAAGAGAGTGAGAGGAATTTGTGCACAGATGCACAACAGGTGGATTTTGGCCGCAGGTACACGGCGCCTCCAGTGCCATAAAACAGAGCCACGACCAAGAGGTGTGAGGAGCAAGTGGAAAACGCTTTCTGCTGGCGCTCAGCTGATGCCATGTGAAGAATGGTGGAAATGATACAAACGTAGGAGTAAATGATGAGTAGGAAAGGGCTCAGAATAGCAAAGACAGCCACCACAGTGACCTGCAGCTCTCGTGGGAAGGTGCTGCCACACAGCAGGTCCAGCAAGGGCTGAATCTCACAGAAGAAGTGGTCGATGGCAGAGCCACACAAGGGTGAGCTGAATGTTGTGAGGGTGTGAATTAAACCCACAGCAGCCCCAAAAATGTAACTCCCAGCAACCAGGCTTCTGCAGAGCCTGCTGCTCATGGTAACTGTGTAGTGCAAGGGGTAGCAAATTGCAAAATAACGATCAAGGGACATGGCAGCCAAGAGAAAGCATTCAGCAACTCCAAAGAAAAGGAAGAAAAACATTTGCATTGCACATCTTGTCTTGGAAATACTTACTGTTCCCACCATCAGGGTCTCGATAATGGTTGGGAAAATGACTGATAAATAGCAGATATCCAAACAGGACAGCTGAGTGAGGAAGAAATACATCGGGGTGTGAAGGGTGTTATCACTGTTTATTGTGAAAGCTGTCACTGTGTTAGCCATCAAGGTGAGAATATAAAGAAATAATAAAACTACAAAGAGCAAAGAGTGCAAATGAGAGCTTTCAGAAAAACCCAGGAGTCTGAATTCACTAAACCCACTGAGGTTCCCAAGGATCATCCTTCTCTGGTGCCTTGTAGAACTCCCTTTGTTTTAGATGAAGCTTCAAACAGCCAGGCAAATCTGCAATCAAAATGCAACTGCCTGTTTGAACAGACAAAAAGATGACTAGAAGTTAGAAACTTCTGAGAAGATCTGAAAGTTTCCAAAGAAAATAAGGCAGTCTTATGCATTTATTTTTGTCTCTATTTTTGACAAATTCTTCTTTCGTAGCATTGCCTTCAAAGTTTGCATATTCACTACTGTCTTCAAATGCTCAGCTACCATTTTTACCCTGTAGAAAAAGAAAAAAAAATATGGCAAATATCTTTTTATGGACTAATCAGTTCAAGTCCCAAAATCATCAGCAGCAACATTTGAATATAACAAAGGTAAATTCTCTGTTACCTGTTGTGGAGTGTGGTGGAAGAAGAGTAAGGGAAAAAAGCCCCTAAATTATGAATTCTCCAGAAAAGCTTTCAACTGTGAGCACTGCAGCGAAGCAAAAGAGAGGCTTTTCCACAGCTCTTTATACTGTAAATATATGTATTTATAAAGTCCATTGAGACTGGCTAGTGCTGATTGGAGCAATAAGGAAGAGTTGTTAGAGGGTGGATAAACAAGATGCATGTGTTTGAGTTGACTCACAGCCACCTCTAATTTTACATAACTTGGAAAGCATTTCTATATAAACCCAGATATCTACAGAAATATCAAGATCTGGTTTACCTTGCATTAATTACTATTACTTCATAAAGCAGCCAAATTAATGACAGAGTTGCCACACAGGCTTACCATACTTATGCTTTCTCAATAAAATTTGAAGGTGAAGCAAGGATGCAATCCACGTTCATTTGGGGATTAGAGACAAAAGATTCACTCATTACCAATCTTAATTTTTATTGTATTCTATTAAAAGATATTATTTTTTAGCTGTTGTTTGGTTTATTTTGTGGTTTCTTATTCAGATCCATCAGCAACCCCACACTGTCTCTCTCACCACAAGGCTCCTTTCAATGCCAAAGAGGTTGATTAAAAGTTGAATTACTGGCTGGTACTCACATTTCCAGTGTTAAGACATCTCATGCAGTCTGATCCTTTTTCCCCTGGCTGTAGGACTGTCTTTGCCCACTTTTATCCTTAGTCACTGGCTGTAGAGTAACCTCTGCATCACAGTCAGATCCTCTGAACAGCAGAAAGTGATTTTGTAGGGAAGAACCACCTAATGTGATGTAGGTGTCTTCTGTAAGTGACAGCTTGTAAGTGCAGTAGCTGTGTTTCATTAAACAGAAACATAATAAAGGCAGAAATTATTATCCACAGAGGAAAATCTCTGAGAAATCTGAAGGACCCACTTGCGATGGCATGATGTGTTCTCCCATGGCAGGCCTTTCCTGCACCATTAATTAAAAGATAATAAAATCAGAGTTAGATATGAGTTACCTTTTCTTTCCTCCTGCAAAACCTTTAAAGCCATTTTCCTGTTTCTATTTGTAGTTTGGCTCCACATTAAATTTTTTCCCTTAAGGCAGGCAAGATCAGGCCCAAGATCATGAAAGGTCAAAACATAACAGATGAAAATAGTTATGTGAGTGCTCTGTAGGTCTTTCTTTACAGTTTGTTCTAACAGGAGAACCAGAGAAAGTTGTGTTGTACCTAAACAATGAGTGGAAAATAACTGACTCCTACAGCTGCAGCAGTCAATACCCAACAGGCTCTTCCTCTGGGAACACAGACAGAAATACTTAAGATTTGTGACGTGGCTGTTCCAAAATCATTAACCACAGATTTCTCCTACTGGCAGCTGAGCTACTTGATTTTACTTCATTCTTCTGTCTGTTCTTCCAGATGCTATTGTCCTCTGGCACCTACACACATAGGACTTCTCTTACAGGGAGACTTACCAGCCTATTAAGTAAATGGATTATTGGAACTGAAAATCAATAAGATATTTTTGTATTGTTGAAAAAAAACTGCTACACCTGAAACATGCCTGGGACAAATGTTATTTCCTGAAGTGCAATCCACCCTCTTTAGTACATTTTGTCTGGTACTGTGGAGAATATGTGGGATTATCTGTGTTCACTAGGTGATTCTTTCCTGGAATGGACCCCATCCAGAGAATGACAGCCTGAACTCAGATATTAAACTGTGCTTTAGGGTTATTCATCAAATCTCTCTCTTCTCCATGTGTGTTTGGTGTGTATTTTTGGGATGTCACTGGAGTCTTACATTCCCATTTGAGTGACCCCATACTGATTTTAGAGGAAACATTTACTCTAATGTAAATAAGTTCTGAGAAGTGATTTAAACACCCAAATTGATTTGCAGGAACTTTTAGTATATAGGTATGAATTTAAGGAAATGTAATGAATCTGTGAAAGTCACACAGATTTAAACCAGTCTGTTAGCTAGCTGTGGTGTGTGCAACTGGAGGATATCCCCAGCTGAAATAAAATAATGCCACTTTCTAATACTAAAATCACAGTGTTAAAGAGTTTTATTCCTGACTTTCAGTAGCAAAAGCACAATTCTAAAATCTCTTATGGGAGTACTCTGCAGAACTGGAGTCCGCTGACTATTTGCCCACTTCAGTTTGGGGCTTTTCCATCATTTTATTCTGCTTGCTACCTGAGAACATTCCTTACTGCTACCTGGAGTGAAGATAAATAATTTTCCCTGTTGATGTCCAGATCATCACAATTAAAAATCAGTTGATCTATTTCCTGTCAGATTTGAAGGCCCCTTTTTATGGACCATGAAGAAGTAAACAGACTCTAGGTTTTGCCAAGGCACTGCTAATCCTGTACATAATCAGCCCTGGCTTTATGTTCCTCTGCTGCCAGACACTTCCCCTGCTTCTGCTACTGTGTCTTACACTCTGCTGAAACACTCCCACTTTAACCCACACTGGTGGTCTGTACCCATATTTCATTTCTGGGTCCCACCATCAATGTGACTCTGCTGTAGAGGAACCTGAGACAAAGGAGTGTGCATTGATGCAGTCCCCATGTGCACTTGGGTTAAAGATCATTCTTGCCCACAAATTTACACATAGTTTCCCCTACTTCTTCTTCCTATGGTTTGTCCTTCCATAGCTTGTCATTAATCAGAAAGATTAAAAGAAAAACAACAACAACAAATCCCAAACCAACCAAGAATCAGACACTTTCTTTTGCCACATCTGCTGCAGCAAATAAGGATTTAGCATTCAAATTATTTCTTTGGGTAAGATGTATTTGAGAGGTGGGCCCACCAAGCGGTCAGACCATCATTCTCAGCACAGATCAATGTTATCCACTACCAGGAGATATTCCCATTATGTTTGGGGGAAGGCTTAATAAGCAAGGGCTGGCATAGGTGTTGGTTTTCATTTCATTTTATGAAATCCTAATCAAATTTAATGATGCAAAGTGATACCTCTCCCTGCAGCCCATCCTTCCCTTTACCACGGTTTTGAGTCATACTAACCTCCCTCCCATTGTGGCAAAAATAAATCATTTTTTCCCCTTCCACCATTTCATAGAATCATTACTTCATAGACTATCTCCAGTTGGAATGGACCCTGCTCCTTGAAAAAGTTATCAGTGAATGGAGAACAGACACACTCCAGAGAAAGCTTGTTAGAGAGACCCTCCTGTCCAGTCAGCAGGTACAGAAAGGACATTTTGGTTTTCTAAACTCTTCAGAGAAGAGCCTGGATGCAGCTGCATCCCAGCCCAGCCCCAGACTCTTCAGTTTATGTCTAAAGGGTTACAGAGGTGTAAGTGAGCCTGTATGTAACTTTGTCCCATGGGATTAAAGATGGCAATGCATTAAATAAATAAAATTAAGTACTTATTTAAATGTATTGCAATGATTAAGTAAAATAACTTGTTCAGAATTATTTGCTACATAGCATAGGTAGCCATAACTACTAGTGTAGTATACTGCACTATTTTTGAAGGTATAGAGGAGCAATTATATTAAATCTAGCAAAACAATTATTGAGTAGAGATTGATGATACCCATGCAACAGCCATGAGCAAACCTATTTGGCTCAGCCCTGAGAAGTGACCTTAAGGGGCTTCCCTACTCAAGGCAGGGATCTTCACACACCTTAGGAAGGTATGCTAGAAATTCTCACCGTGCAGAAGTGGGACTGCCCTTCTACAGCACAACATGATTGGCTGCCAGTCTGATACATTTTTAGATTTTGTATTGTCAGGTTTATTCAGCAAAATATGCTTTGCTGCTGAAAAGGGTGTTAGAAGCTCTTTGGCTTCTTCCATCAAGTGACACTTGTGACTTCCATGTGAAGGCCTGGACATCCCTGCTGCTCTGCCCTCAGATCAGGGAATATCTGTTTGCATGTCCTCATGGTGTTGAAAATGATAGAACTTTACAAATACCTTTTCTAATTAATTGTTTTAATTAAGTTTTCTAATTACTTGTTTGAATTAATCATAAGCAGTGTAATTTTCCACTCTGTCATATGCCACTATAGCCAACATTCAGCAAGGTTTGTCATAAGCTGCTACAGTGGGAACACAACTTGAGAAAATTCCTGAACATTTACATTTTGCTACAACAACTGTAATCAACCTTGATATTCTTCAATGGTCTCAGACCTGGAAGAGGGATTTATTGCTGAAGCTGGACACAAGGAATGCAGAATTTATGACCCATGAGGCCATTGTGCAGAACCCTGAGATAAAGAGGGAACAACAAAGAAAATTCAGCAATTGTACTGTAATCCCATTGTCCTGGTTTCAGCTAGGGTAGAGTTAATTTCTTCTTTAATTTCTTCTTTAGCTGTCACAGTGCTGTGTTTTGGATTTGGAATGAGAATGGTGTTGATAATACACTGAATTGTTAGGTTTTGCTAAGTCATATTTTATTCTAAGTCAAGGACTTTTTGTTTCCTCATCTTCTGCTCTGCCAGTGAGGAGGTTCACAAAAGAAACTGGGAGAGAGCACAGCTGGGACAGGTGACCTGAACTGCCCCAAGGGACATCCACACCCTAGAACATCATGCCTGGTATATAAACTGGGAGGAGCTGCCCAGAAGGGCAGCTGATCTTGGTTTGGGAAGGGGGCTCTGGCATCAGTCAGCAGGTGGTGTGTAATTGCATTGTGCATCACTTGTTTGGTCCCTTTACATTATCATTATTAATTACTACTATTGTTGTAATTTACTTTATTTTCAAATATGAAACTGTTTTTAATTCAATACAGAAGTTTTACTTCAAATCTCCTCCCCATTCCACCAGTGTCAGGGAAGAAGAGGTGGTTGAGCAAGCAGCTGCGAGGTGT